CTGATTAAGCTCCAAAGTGCTCCAAAGTCTCCAGTTAAGCTCCAAACGTACCTATGACCTGAAAGGACTCCAAAAGACTCGAAAGACACTAAAAAGACTCTATAAATAGGACTTATACCATGGTTAAAAACCATAAAAACCATGATATATCATAGCATCGTCTATAAAGGTGAGGAAGTACCTCCTGCCACTGAAAGAGGTATTCTGCATTGGACCACATAAGTCGCTGTGTATCAGTTCTAGTTTCTCAGTTGCTCTTGACTCTGACTCTTTTGGGAATGAGTCACGAGTATGTTTGCCAATGATGCAGCTCTCACACCCTCCTTGAGTAGCTTTGAACTTAGGTAGACCTGTGACCATTTCCTCTGACTGAAGATTGTTCAGGTTCGTGTAGCCAATGTGTCCAAGATGCTTGTGTCATAGTTCTGCAATACTCTCCTTAGCTATCATGGCGGTTTCTTCTTTGGAATTCCATCTGATATGGAAACTCTTGTTTACCATTGGGATCACTCCTATTTTTCTTCCAGCACTGTCATGTATGATGCATTTGCTTTCTTGAAAAATAATCTTGTATCCATTAGTTATCATCTGCGGAACACTAAGAAGGTTCTTCCCAAGTTTGAGAACTAGAAACACATCTCTTATGATTCTTTTCCCTTTCTTGGTTATGACCTCAATATCTCCTTTGCCTTCTGATATTAGTACAGCTCCATTTCCGACTTTTATGGGAACTCTTATACTTGTGTTGAGTTTGACAAAAGCTTTCTTGTTTGGTGTCATATGATTTGTGCACCCACTATCTATGAGCCAAACATCTTCCTTGTTTGCTTCGTCACCTTCTTGTCTTGCTGTAAACACATGATTTTATTCTTCTTTCTTGTTCTTGTTGATATCTTGTACTGTTGCCTCAGTTCCTTTGACCTTGGCTTTCTCCATTGCTGAATCTCCTTGATCCACCATCTTCATCTTGTTCTCCAACTTCTCATTCTTGTTACTTTCTTGTACTGTTGCCTTGGTTTCTCTGACCTTGGCCTTCTTCATCGGCAAATCTTCTTGACTCACCATCTTTGTTTTGTTCAAGAGGTCTCTATGAATCAACCTGGCTCTGATACCATGTTGTGATGCTTGTTTCAAATAAACATTTCTTGTGAATGAAAGGTGTTTAGTGTTTTGAAAAGAAAAGATAGAATAACCTTGAACCATTGTTTCTTTCATTTCATTTTCTTACTACAAAAACTTGCTCTCTCTCTCAGACCTTACATCGACATATAACAAAAGAAAAAAGAGTCATAATGCTCTGTCCTCAACTACTACAATAGTTCATTACCAACTAGCTAGCCTAGACTCTAATACAAGACATAAGTCTCACTCATTGCTGTTTTATTATTCCAACAACTCACACTAACTAGATGTCCTTTTAGTTTGGTTTGAAACTAAAATGGCATTACACAACACTTGTTTGCAATCATATAATGCATAGCCCAAATGAGAGCTTCTAACTCTACTTGTAGAGGAGTAAGACTACTTTGTACATTTCTTATTCCTATAATAGCTTCTCTGTCTCCTCCTGGAAATAGAACACCCTAAATCGGATCCATCCATCTCCTTCCAGGAATCATCAACATAACACCTCCATCTTGTATATTGTAAACCTACTGGATCATTTGTGATATATTGGGGACCTAAGTCTTGAAACTCTTAAAACTTTGAGTTTGGGAAATTTTTCTTTTGGTGAGCTATATTGCTCTTAATTATTATGGCCTTTTTTTGTAACAAACATCATGGGCTACTTTTGCTTGCTTTTTTTTTTTGGTCGTTGTTAGCTTTTTAACTTAAAGATCTTAATCATCGAAATAATTTTTTTTTATCTGGACATGTGCATTTGAATCTAGTAATCCAACTTTCTCTATCCTCTACCCAAATTATCCAAAACACTTTTTCTCGAAAAATCATGGATGTTTCCAGACTTTTCGACGAATATGGTGGTCGGAAATGTGTTAATCAAAATATCTTTTCGGGTGATTTTTTAATATTCAAAATATCCTTGGTAATGAACGTGCCTCGTTGCAGTATAGAGATATGATCAATGATAACTTCGAGAGTGATGTTTTTTTTTTTTTTTTTTTTTTGGATGAAAGTGATGTTAAGGACGTTAAAATTGAGTGGATCTTGTTGTAGTTTTTGCCTTTCGGTGAAGGAAATGGGAACAATGCATATCATCAATGAGGAAAGTTTCTGACACGAAGAACCCTGTCTTCCTTCTTTCCTTTTCATTTTCGGAATCTTCTTCTTCTTTGTTTTCGGTCAACGGCATAAATAATGTATGAATTTCCAACGCGGTAATATAAGTTCTTTAAGTAATAGAGAATCTTGCAGAAAATTAATATTTCTTTTACTTAAACTCTTTTCTCAGTTTTCGACGTAAAGTTTTTGCGAAAATCTTGACAAACTCAAAAGGGTGGTAGTAGGTGGTAGTAGAGTAGTTTTCTTTTAGTGGAAGATTATCGAGTTTACCTAGATTCAGAATTATGACATTATTAACTTTTGACCATCCAAACATGTGAACTGCTATTAGGCTTATATGAAAATGATGCTAGTTCTAAGGAGGATTAGTTTGGGTCCGAAAAGTCTAGGATTTACCTTCGGATATCAAAAAAAAAAAAATTTGACAAACTCAGTAACATTAAAACTATATTTTTTTATTATAACATTAAAATTCTACTCAATAACTTTAAAAACTCGTGGAAAACTTGATATTTTGTTGTAATGAGAAAAACCAAAACTTTAATTCTTTTAATTTTATAACTGGAACATTAATCTCCAAAACTTATAAATTAGCCATGTATTCAAGCTATTTAAAAGCGTACCAATTATAGTTAATACTCCCTCTTTTCAGAATTATTTGATGTTTTAGGAAGTATTTTTTGTTCATATAATTCTCACTTTTTAATGTAAAATTTAATGAATTTTTATTGTTTTTGACTTTTTATATTCTGCAGATTGTTTTCTTATTGGCTGAATTTTATTTAAATGAATTATAAATAATATTTTTCGTGTAAAAAAATAAAAATTAAATGAATTCTTAATCTATGTGCAAAAACCTTAAACATCAAATAATTCCGAATAGAGCGAAAGAGTATACATTGACATTAATTAAAACAAAACAAATTAAAATATAGTTAAACTCGAATTTTAGCTAGTTCGGTAATCCATAGGAGTGAATACTTTGACTAAATGGACACGATAGGTATAGTTAAAATTAATTTTATTATTTCATTTGATTAGGATTACAACTTCTTAGTTTGTGGTCATGTCGTCATCTGGGTTAATTCAAATTATGTCACAATCTCGGTTCAAATCTACATATAGTGTAGTAAGTTGTTGAATAAAACAATAAAAAAAACTTTCATTTAATTTCTAAGCTGATTGATAGGCTGATTCAGCCAAAGAAATAGCACCAGTACTAATGGAAAACTTTGGTGCTATCACCCACTCATAGGTACGTGCATGATAAACTAAAATCTTAAAATAATTTTTTCGTTTCCTAATAGGAATGCACCGTAAACCCCCTTCCTCCAAAACCTAATCGTATCCAAAATCACTTACATTTTTCTGTCACTTTAACAACACTGAATATGTTGACTCTGCACACATGCTATGCGTCCGACTGCCTTCGCCTTCGGATGCTTGAGATTAATTTATTTGATAGATGCTTAAAAAGTCTAAGAAATTAAGTGAAAAGTACCAAAGTGATTCACACCGTTCCAATCCAAAGGATCCTTTCTCGACCTGATAGACTAGCCTGCGACTTCTATCTCCTATAAAATGTTCATATTTAAAATACTTTTTTTCAAATCGATACTGCTTTCTTTCTCTCCCACTCAAAAACTGAAAGTCTTTCTTAAGCATGCTTGGTGGTGTTGAAAACTAAGTTTGGTGGTGTTGAAGGTTTTTGGGTTTATGAAATACTTTTGGATTTTGGGTTTTATTTTGGTTTTTGTAAAACAATTAACATTATTAATCTAATTATTGTGTCATATTTTTTATATATATCGTCTTCCAATTTTTGTATAATTTCACAAATTAAATGGTTTTTGTAATTATATTGGTAGGAAATATCAGTTTGTCGGAAATTAGTAGGAAACACTCGTAGAAATATGGAAAGAAAAATAAAGAATCTATTTGGTAGGTAAAGTTTGGTCGGAAAATTGAAAGAAAATATCGTAGGAAAAATGTAGGTAACCTTTCGTAAGAATTTAGAAGGAAAACAATCGAAGGATAGCGGTAGCAAATTGGTCGGACCTCTCTCACTAATTTCCCACCAACTTACCCGACGAAATTTCCCTACCATTATAATTCTAGGAAATTTCCTACGAAAATCCTACCTTTTGAAATTTCTGACGGCCGATTTCCGACTTATATTGGTAAAAAAACGGTAGTAAAGGGCTATTTCCTACCTGACGATATTTTCTGTAAGAATTTAGTGGCATAGAGACTTCGTCTTTCACTCCGATCATTTGTGATCTTATCTCAAATATACTATGTTTAAAGATACTAATTAACTTTCTAACTCTTTCTCCGGGAATAGCCCATAAAGAATAGTTGAGGAAGCAGCGAAGCACTTTTCCTCACACACGGCTTGATATAAACCATATGTTAAATGCAGTTTTCGATAGTTACTTGAGCATTGGAGAGTTTTCGGAAAACAGTCTATATGTGTTTTCTTTGCGTTCACGTGTTTGTTTCACTAATTGGTTACTGAGGGTCCACAGTCCAGCTGCTGATGGAAAAGTCGCCAATGCATACAAATGGTCCTAGCTAAGCCACATGATTGTTTCACAAATCTTTTCTAAAGAGGATACGGATATTGTCTTGTCTTAGTACATATCTAGATTTCCTCCCTGGAATAATGCGGTAGATGAAAATGAGGCTACGATATAAGAGCATTGGATGCTGCTTTTTTTTTCCCTTACTTGTATTATTGTTTTTGGACTAGCTCATTGAGGGCCACTAGTTTGTTTTTCTTATTCCGAATAATACTCGGTTCTTGATTGATTCTCGTAAAACACAAGCCTAATATGGTTGCTCCTTGGCTTCTCCATATACAAATATTGCTTGTAGTACTTCACACACAATTAAAAAAAAGGGAAAACTATGGAGATTTACGAAGATGAAGGATAAAGTATCCACGCTCTGCCAGATTTAGCTGAGAATTGCTTAAATTTACCATAAAACATTACTATTATAAGTATGAATTTTCCAACGGGACTCCATCGTCCTGCAAACCCATAACTTGCGTCTTTACAGCTACCATCGCTGATGTCTAGGCGCCGCTCGCAGCTGTAACCGGTCGTGAACCCAACGTTTCCATATGCACTGCCGTCACAATAATTAATTTGTTGTTTCACCAATTAGTATAGTTATTAGAACTAACCTTTACAGAAGAACATTAAACTTTCATTATTTAGATACAAGCTAAGGATTAGGGTATTAATCACTTATCAACGAAAAGTCTAACACATAATAACTTCGAAATAGTTAACTAAGAGGAGAGAAACCTAATTAATGCCTTCTACTTTGTTCGTTGAATTACCAATACTTGGGGTTTCAAAAACTTTTCTAAATATTTCCACGTGTAAAATATATGCAAAGTGAGATCGAATTAATATCATACCTGATAACTTCGAAAGTGATGTTGAGGATGTTGAAATTGAGTGGATCTCGTCTTAGTTTTTGACTTTCGGTGGTGGAAATGAGAAAGATACATATCGCTAGAAAGGTGAGTTGTGACACGTAGAACCCATTCTTCTTTCCTTTAATTTCATCTCCGGAATCGTGTTCACCCTCTTTCTTATTCTTTTCTACGGTCAACGGCATGAATAGTGTGTAGGGAGGAAGATACCTAGTCAACGCAATAACATTTACCTATTAGTCTATAATTTTGTTTTTCTTTCATTTTTTTTATATTGAAGAATTCGGTTTTTCTTTCTTTATACTCATATGTGTATACTACCATTAGACCCATATTTTTTTTTGAACAATACCATTAAATATACATCATTGTACCAAATTGAAACTCATACTATAGCATGGAGATATGTAAGTATACCTAGGGGTGGGCGCGGAGCGGATATCCGGGATTTTGGAGATATCCGTGATCCGCTCCGCTCCGGCCGGATAATCATTTTTCTGATCCGTATCCGCTCCGTAATTATTTGGATATCCGTTTTCCAGATATCCGCAAAAAATCTGAATATTTGCCGGATATCCGATCCGGCCAAAAAAATATTTAAATAATAATATATTTAAAATAAAAAATAAAAAAAATCAAAATTTAATTTAAAATGACAATATTTTCTTTTAAAAAAAAAGTTTCTTAACTTATTAAGTTTTAATATTTATAATAATCAAATTTATAAAAAAAACTCACAAAAATTATATTTATATATAATAATTATACATTTCATATGAATTATTATCTATATATATATATATATTTATATCGGAGCGGAGCGAATATCCGTCTTAATTTTTTTTAGTATTTGTGATTTGTTCCGTTTTTAACGGATATTAAATTTTAGTATTTGCTTTGCTCCATAAAATTACGGATATCCGAATTTTTTGGATCGGATCGAGACGAATAACAGATCGAAGCAAATATAACAGATATTTTGCCCAGCCTAAGTATACCAAACTAGTAGCCTAGATAATTCGTATTCGAAATTGATTATAACAAAATAATGCATTGTGAATATGGTAAAATGGAGTCTGGAACATTCTCCACTACCTTGAAGGCATATTTAATTCATTTACTTTTAAACCATGCACATATTCTGATTCACTCATGACCTTTTCTTGATAGGACCTTATATGATGGTTTATTCGACCATTATTTATAAATGCTTAAAATATGTTAGAGAGTGATCTTCATGATACGAATCATATTATCTAACTGCAGTTTTTTAAATTATATAATATTCTCTTAGAAGTCTTTTTGTAATATTATTTCCTAACCTCTATTTTACGAAACGATAGAAAATTACTTTCATTATTTATGTCATCACTGAAATTATACTGCACTTTTAGTCTCTTTCGTTCTTTAATTTCGTTATCTAATCACATTTATGATAGTACTATTGCACTAATCAAATTTGTATCGTACTAATTCCCTAATGTAAATTAGATTTTTATTTACCGAGTGAAATATAGTTTTGTTGCGTAAACATTTTGTGGAACGTGACAAACTCACTGACTTTTCTCCTTTTCTTTTTTATTTAATTTTCTTGCAATGAGAAAATCAAAACTCAGTTAGTGTAAATAATACTTTTTCATATTTTAATTTATTTATTGGTAGATTCTTGGGAAGAAAATAGCACTAATTACTACGACTAATGCAAAATTTTGGTTCTACCACCCACAACGCGCTACCGATTTTTAAAATAAGGAATGTCTTTTTAGTATTAGAGTTCTTGTTGTAAAGAATGAACAATAATTGTGAGGCGAAAGTCTTTTTCCGTTATATAACAGTTATTTATGTGATTTAAAGTTTTTTCAAACATGTCAAATAATTAGTAAAAGCATCCTTCACACATGGGCGGACCAACTTTCATGTGGTGACCTTGCATTGAACAACAATACATGAATCCTTCACACATGGGTCTTATAGAGACGACTGTTCTTATATGACCCTACTAATATTTGTGAATTGATTGATTTTTAATATATATATATATACTGTATATATATACGTTATTGATTGAATTTAGTTTTGTGGAACGTTAAAAAACCACAATTTGAATACGTATCTATATTCTCCCACAAGAGGACGGAATAAATCAAAGCCTTCTTGTCCATGCAAATGGCAAAACATACGATGAGAGACAGAGAGAGATGAAATAACTTACATCATGAGGATGAAGAGTACCAAGATTGCTGGAGAAAGTGTAGAGAGGTCGACAACGGTTTCTCCAGTGTGTCTCGAGTTGACAACTTGAAACAACGATCCAACCAACTTCTCGTAGGAATTCATTCCTTCAAGAGACTCAGAGTTCCATTCAAAGGTGCAGAATAGAAGAAACTGTATCATCACAAGCCCTAACACCGTCAAAGCAAGAAGAACACAAAGACGAACGGAGAGTAAATGAGAGTATCCCATCTTCTTGTGATTCTTGAGAATGTAACCCAATTCTTCTCGATTTGTGATCTTATGAAGTCCCCATATGGCCAAAACCAAGAAGCAAGGAAACAAAGTGTCTCCCATGAATACTTGAGGGATTAAGAGCCAGAGGAGGCCAGAGTTCTTTCGGAAGATGATCATGTTCTCATTCGTGGGGACAAATCCACAGTCTGATAACGTAGAGACAGCTGTGAAGACCGAGAAAGTGAGAGGTGAGATTTTTTTGGAACTAAGAACATCTCTCGCCGTTTTAACAAAATTTACGTACAGAAGAAGCAACGTGGAACCAGCTATGTTGGTTACAAAAAGGTAACCAAGAACCACCGAGTACAAACACTTAGAGGCCCTTTCATTGATCTGACTAGAAAGCTTGACATGATTAGTAACATTCTCAAGATCACTACCCGGATCATTGATAGGACGGTCGAAGTTGAAAGAGCCCACAAGATGTTTGATTTTGAAGTTAATGAAATGAGAGAAGTAGAGATTCACGAAAGAAGTGAAGATCTCGCCGCCTAGAAACATGAGGATAGTAATGATGATAAGTTGGGTGTTTGAGAAGACTTCCATGTCGATGGTTGACATGGAGGAGACAGTGATGGCGGAGACAGAAGTGAAGAACAGATCCAAGTCATGAGGACGTGAAGTGGTTCTTGGCTTTGAGATCTTGAGTGCCAAGAACCCCAAGAAGGAGAAGAACAAGAAGTAGAAGAAGTAAAGGAAGAAAAGGGGGAGAGATTTAGCATGTTGCGAAAAGATTTTAGCTAACTTGTCCACAACTCTCTCCATTTTGTATATATCTTACCAGAGAACCCTTTGACCGGAGAGACAGAGGTCGAAGGTTCGAGTGCGGGAAACGGGTAGGGGTTTTAAACCTGCTCTTATCCGAGGAGATTGTGGAATACGAAATTTCTAGGATTTCAAGAAAAAAGAAAAACTCTCCATTTTATTTCTTGGGTCGGTCTACGAATTATATTATTGGCCCTTGTGTTTATATATACGCATAAGAACATTCTCAGCCACATAAGTGTATGAGGACCAACATGAAAGTATTTTCTATATGAACTTTTGTTTTCCCCGAATATTTTCCTTTCTCGACTCTAGAAATAGAGAGATTTCCTTAATTAGCCTACAAATTATTGGAAACAACCAAAATATTTCATTAAAATATTAAAAATTTTAAAACGAGTTTTTTCTCTCTAAAATTAGCCTACGAATTATCTTACGTGTCACATTTATATTAAGCACAATATTATAATAATATTTCAGTTATAGAAAAGATAAATAAATATTTTCATCAAAGATATTTTAGATGTCAATTTCATTATAATCAATTTTCTGTTTTTTGTTATTTATTTCTTAAAGATGATAAAAATAACAGATAAACAAATGATATAAATCATTAATAAATAGAAATATAAATGGAAAACTAATAAAAAAATTCAAACAACCTCCAAAAAATTAAAAACTTCCAATAGTCTAAAAAAAATTTAAAATAATAAAAAAGAAAAAATAAATAAGTCGTAAAATTAAAATAGAGAAAATAAAGAAACTTTACCTTTTAATAAAAATAGATACAAGTACACTGACTTTATGTGTATGCTTGATATACATACAGATATATTTTATTATATTAAGTTTGTTATCTCAAACTTTATATTTGACATAAATGGCCACACGTGTTAGTCAGTCGATTATACTTTGACGTATAAAAGCTTTTTTCAAATTAGATAAAATAATAAAAGAAAGAAAATAAGATTCTTGATGTCAATGCATAATCTGCCAATTGTATTTCTTTCATATTTTTGCTTGTAGAAATACAAAAAAAAAAAGTAAAGTAGTTAATGGCTATGGTTTACAATGATTGGGCACAAGAATGATTGGGCACAAGAGTAGGAAGACAAATTTGACCAATATATTCAAGATAAGTCATATGAGCAACTGCCATTTGATGAGAGAATGTTCACACCAGAAACAAAAAAAAAGTGGAGTTGGAAGAGCCTTACCAAAAAAAAAAAAAATCCAACACAGGCAAGGAGTGACCCTAGAGGTTATGATTCGGTTTGAACACACACCATGGATGAACTCATGCACTTGAAGAACTACTACTTTAGATTCCTCCATGTCAACTAGAAAGTATATATGACAACCTTTAAAATTCATCTTGAGGATAGTGACATCTTTTTACATTGAAGATGTAGCTTCTAGTTTGCATACTCTCACATTGATGATTGTTATTACATTTAATACGTATAACTCAAAGTCTAGATATTTTAAGAAGTATAGAACCGTGTTAGGGATGTTTGTTTCAAAAATGATTATCTACAAACTTTGACTATTCATGATCAGTTTAATGCTTGAGAAATCTAGAACTTTTTTAAAAAATGTTCATAGAGGAGCGATACTCTCATGAGTATGTTAAGTCAAATGTATGACACCATTGCAAACATAGAAGCCAAGATTAAGCTGTCTACTGAGGAATCCAATACAAATGTAGAGTGATGAGTGGATCTATACCAAATATTCTTTGTAAATAGGCAAGGAGAAAATGCAAGAGGCGTTTCCACAACAATACGTTTCATCTAAATTGGAGTAGTTTTCAAATTGCACAAAAAAGGAAAGGATGCAATTTGACAAAACATGATCAAGGCCTTGGTCCAACTCCATTATGTCTATAATCTGATTATCAATACGTTAGGCTCATAGGACAGGTCTCTGGACTCAGGCAAATCCACTTCCCGGATTCTCACACTTAGGTCTCTAGAGTGAGGTTCTAGCCTTCATGGACTCTCACATCCCAAACATCTCTGTCCTAGGTCTCACAGACTCAATCTCCACTCTTCATGGGTCCTAGCACTTGGACTCTGATATATCATGGTTTTTCTAGTTTTTGACCATAATATATGTCTTATTTATAGAGTCTTTCTAATGTTTTTCTAGTCTTTTGGAGTCTTTACAGGTTTTAGGTATGTTTAGAGCTTAATTGGTAATTTTGGAGCACTTTAGAGCTAAATCAGGATCAAATTCGCGAAGGACAAATCATGTGCATTGGTGTCGCTCGACACCATGGAGAGTGACGCTCGACGCTTGTCAAGGAAATAAGGAAAACATGATTTTGTTTCCTATTTGAAGAAAGAGTTGGGCGCAGAAGTTTCCAAAGAAGTCCAATACGTGTTTTTAAGATATAAATAGGGTTTTTAGTCTCTTTTCATCGACACCTTAAATTTTCGAACAAAAAATCTTTTGCTTTAGGCTTTTTGCGATTTTGAGAGCTTGGGAAGACAAGTCTGAACTCTGTTCGTTTAAAGAGAAGATTTCGAACCCTTTTATTTATTCTATTCATCTTATTTTTGCAATCTATTCAATCATGTTTATTGTTTCAATATTCATGTCTGAGTAGTTAGCTTGTTAGGTTTAGGGTTCTCATTAAGGTTTTCACTGGATGTTTGATTAATTGATTTAGTTAGGGTTCATAATCTGATTTGTTCTTCACCATATGTTGTTTTTAAAGCTAATTCTGGACTGATCACCTAGAACTTAGACCTTAGGTTGCTTAATTGACGCAGAAGTGTAATTGAATAACTGGAAAGAACCTAGGGTGAGCAAAGTAGCTATTCGCAAAGGAATTTGGTTTAGATGCTTTGTGAACATATCGAATATGAGCATTAAAGCTGGTTTAAATCTTTAGGGTTTGCAAAGGAATTTGGAATTCTAGGATTTCAACTTAGATAATTCTCACAATGGAAGTTGGTTAATTATAATTTTGTGGAGTTCAAGAACTGTGCTTAAACCTGAACCCCGACTAATCGATTGATCTGCATTCATTGATTTTCTGAGAAACGCCCTAAGCCTAATTTCCATCCAATCGAGTTTGACAAACGCTTTTTACTGTTTTCTTACTGTTTTGTTACTTTCATTCACATTATTCTACTTAGCGTAATTTGAATTCTAATAGGTTTATTGAGTGCATTTCTCGTCTCTGTGGTTCGACCCCTGAAATACTGTAACTGCACATCTGTGCTCTTGCAGAGTAGCTTAGAGATTAAACTTTGAGCAGACCAAGTTTTGGCACCGTTGCTGGGGACTTGATTTCACCATTAAACCTTAGTTTTTGAGTTTCGACTAAGTTTTTCTTAGTGCCGAGCGACACCGCTAGTGGTGTTGCTTGACACCTTTCGTTTTTATAACCTAATTTATTTATTTTCTTTTTTTTTGTTTTCTGTGTTTCAGGTTTATGCATACTCGTGGAACCAGAAGCAACAAGGACATACCGCTAGTGAATTTGAACAACAAGGAGCTAGCTGAGTTAGAACGAATGAACAGAAAAGCAAAGAAACCAGCAGAGATGGAAAACGCAAACGGACTTGTTTGTGATGATGCTGGAATCTGGAGAGACCAAGAGGGTCATGTGTGCAATGAGAGAGGCCAAAGACTTTATGGAGATGGAAACATCATTCCACCGGCACCTTTACCAGTGGATGTTGTTAACGCAAATCCACCACCTGCACCGCGTGGTAACGCCACAAATGCTGTGATCGTTCCAAATCAGAGGAACGTTCCAAGAGATCAGAATGTGAGGGAACCTGCACCTACAACTGCTCAAGGAAGAACACTTGGAGATTACAACAGGCCTAAGGAGTTCTATGCAAATCGGTCCGCGATTCGCGCCCCTGCGTTTCAAAGGAACGATTGTGAGCTGAAACCTGTTTACTACACTCTTGTGGGTCAGCATCCCTTTCATGATCACTCTCATGAGAACCCTATGGATCACATCGAGAGGTTTGAGGACTTGGTCACCAGCATCAAATACAATGGAGTGTCCAACGATTTCCTTTTCTGCAAGCTGTTTTCTTACTCTCTTGCTGGAGAAGCAACTTATTGGCTGAAGCAGTTGGAGCCAGGATCACTTACTACCTGGGAAGAGACCAGGAACACTTTCCTGCATAACTTCTATGATGATGCCAGGTCTGAAGAGCTGAGACTAAAAATCTCGACATTCTCTCAAGGACCAACTGAGGCGTTTAAAGCTGCTTGGGTGAGATTCAAATCATACCAGCGAGACTGCCCCCATCATTGTTTCAGCGATGCGCAGCTGTTGGGTATTTTCTTCAGAGGTGTTGATTATAGGTATCAGATGGCTCTGGATGCAGCAAGCAATGGGAGTTTCAACACCAGATTCCCTGACGAAGCTGTTGTGCTCATCGAAAACCTAGCATCTAGCAATAGTACCAAGAATGCTGATTATGAGCGAAAGAAGCAGGCTGGGAACATGGATGGATCGCAGATTGCTGAGGTGAAGGCTAAGCTTGACTCTGTTAATATCCTTATAGTGGGTAAGAAGTCTGTCTGATTCGCACAAGAAGTGGAAAGTTTCGAACTAGAGGATGAAGCTGAGGAGGAAGATGTCAACTTTGTCAATGGATCAGGGTTTCAAGGTCAGAGGTTTGGTAATCAGCAAGGTAACAGAAACTTCAGTGGAAATAATCAGAGGAGCACCTTCACCAGTAATCAGAACTTCTCTGGTTACACACCTAAGCCTCAATACCAGAAGTCCTATTCCAGCAACAGTTTTCTAGAAACTACGGCACTTCTCCAACTCAAACTCAAACTCCTGACAATGAGGTGAAGTCGATGCTGGAACAGATTCTGAGAGGACAAAGGAAGCTCACCGTGGACTTTAATGGAAAGATCGATGCTCTGTACCTTGATCTGAATGGGAAAATCGAAGCTTTGAACACCCATGTCAAGCAGCTCGATATGCATGTTGCTCAAACTGCAGGTTCTGTGAAAAGGCAAGAAGGTTTTCTTTCTGGAAAGACTGACACCAATCCAAGACATCACTGCAGTGCTATCACGTTAAGGAGTGGTAAAAAGTTGATTTCTGAAAGGGTCTCCTGCTGCTGAAGTCGTGGATTTGGAAGATCCTGAAGAAGTTTCTGAAGTTACAGAGCCAGTGTCGAGCGACACCACAACTAGTGTCGCGCGACACCAATTGCAGGGTGAAGCCGAATTTGTTCAGAGCCCAAAATCAACA